CTCGGAAATAATCAAAATATTCACAAATATATTTTCAGGAAAATATTCCTAAAATATTTGCAGAAATATTCATTAAAATGTTTGTTGAAATAATCATAAAAATATAATCCAGTTCGAAGCAGATAATGTGGATTATCTGATTTTAATAATCTGGATTATGTAGCCGTGTAGACGGGGCCTAAGTGTTGCAAGTAAGCCTTTGCTATTATTACTATATGTATTCTTAAATATCTGTATGACCCACTTTCCTCTCTTAAGTGAGACTCAAAAGGAGACGTCTCGGGTTCCATTCCCATAATTCACTACCAAGGTTTGGTTTTCCTGCCGTTCTCCCTGTCGTCACTGTGACAACTGGCGAAAACCTTGTTGTACTTCCTACAAATGCTGAATTTCTGTTGCTGTTTTTTTCCTGTAGAAAATAGGCTTAGGTGTGCAGTGGCTCATGTCGGCCCGCGGAGACTTCAACCGAGCCACGCAGGCCCTGATTCACGACATCGCAAACACTGACCTCACCAACACAGTGGCTTGCCGGGCTTTGAATGACCGGATTATGAAGGTAGGTTGTCATTTTGCATCCCTAGGAAGCACAAAAAAAATCAGATATTAATTTTACTGTTGTTGAATATGAAACCTTTCTCAAAATGTAGTGAATTCCCTACCTGTTAGGCTAGGAAAAGCCTAGGAATGTAGACTCAAGAAGTTCGGCAGCCATTTTTGAAATAAGGGAAGACTGTAATTTGCTGAGTGAGAGTGTGCAGAGTTTAATTTGGCAAAAGAAAAAAAATGGCTTTTAGGGGATGTTTTGAAACCCTGTCAAATAGATTGAATCTGGGTGTCGAGTGGAATTGACTGTGAGGGTCAAAGAAGAAGGAGCTGGGAGTTAGAGGAATGGTGAAGGGTTAATGAGAGAGGCCTGAAATTGGTCAGTGGGCTAGCAGAGACAGTTAGTGAAAAGATTTCTACAGATATTAGGGAGATAGCTGGTGGAGGAGTGAAGAGATAGATCCAGAATACAATTATCTGTGCTGGAGTTTAGAAATTACTTTCAAAGAAGCAATCCTGTCAGTAAGGGAGAGAGAAGTGTTCCTGTGTAACTAAGTCTGAAATGCTTAAAGTAACCACATGCTTTTAAGTCAATATTTTGAAACAGCTAAGCTTTATACCTGAATTGTTCCAGCTCTCTTAAATAAACATCATTGTTTTGTTGTTCACAACATCTGCCTCACGTGTGCCTCTGTGGGTGAAGTTTTAAAAGCAGTTTCCTTCAGCAATCAAGAGTCTTTGGGGGCAGCGTATATTTAAAAAAAAACAATATTTTAGTGTTATCTCAGAACACAAGCCTGAGGGCTAATCCAACACTCTTTTGCCTAAGATACTTACAGTAAGCCAAGGGCTTATCAGTGCTTTCGGTGCTCCTGTGATCTGCCTTTCAAAGCCATTTTCTATGTGCTGAGTCAGGTTCAACACTTGTGATGTGCAGCTTTTGTCTTTTCTGAAACCAGCTTGCTGTGGGATCAGACATGGGTCTATTTTTTCCATAATTCTATGCAAAATAAGTCTCTCCAGATGGAGTGGTAATAATAGTAGTAATAATATACAGTGGTACCATACCCACCCTCCATATTGAAAACTTGGGCCCTCCAGGTGTTTTGGACTCCAACTCCCACCATTCCTAACAGCTTACCATCTGTTAAGAATTGTAGGAGTTGACGTCCAAAACACCTGGAGGGAGGGCCCAAGTTTGCCCATGCTTAGACACTATACTCTTGTTTACACAGTTTAGAATTGCATTGTCCTCTTCAGTGGAAGTGTGTGGTCTTGCCTATCTCAGCCGTGTCTTCTGTCTCTCCTGAAGGTGGAGTACCACTTCCTGTCGCCCTACGTCTCCCCGAAGGACACCCCGCTCCGCCACATCTTCTTTGGTTCCGGCTCCCACACCCTCCAGTCTATGCTGGACCAGCTCAGTGTTTGGAAGAGCAACCAAAGCGCTTTTAACGAGACCCTCTTCAAGAACCAGCTGGCCCTGGCGACGTGGACCATCCAGAGCGCCGCCAATGCCCTCTCTGGGGACATCTGGGACATTGACAACGAATTCTAAAAGCGTAGAGCACTTAATTCTGAGATACAGGAAATCCCTAACCTTCCTTTTTTCCCCCCAATTCGGTAGCACAGAGGTGGATTTTCCAGAAGTTACATGAAAACATATAAGAGCAATTCGAAGTGAGTCCAAAATTATCCCTGACGTGAATTTAAGGTGTTTGTAGGTGTCCTTCTCAATGTCTTTGCTCTACCCCAAAAGTCAACAAAAACAAGGTGTCCCTCTCAATATCTGGTCTCAACCCAAAAGTAAACAAAAACAAGATTTTTTTTTAAAAAAAGTGAGCTGAACATGGCCTCCCATTTACAAAGGGGGGGAGCATGCAAGCAAAGGCAGAACTCAGACCAGCCTCAAACTTTGTAGGAGTGGAGGCAAAAAGAAACACAACAAACGGAGTCACAGCGTCACTTGTGGAGGCAGAAGGTGAACCCAAATCCCTCACTCTCGCACTCGTTGGTAGGATATTCTATTTTTCCTAGGGAGGGAAAACCTTTCCTGATTTGGCCCTTGAAGTATAGCAGTTAAATATAATATTATATTTTTCCTTGAACAGGGGAATCATTTCCTGATTTGGCCCTTGAAGTATAGCAGTTAAATATAATATTATCTCTTTCCTCAGAAGGGGAATCCTTTCCTGATTTGGCCCTTGAAGTACAGCAGATAGATATAATATTATATTTTTCCTGGGAATTGAGAACTCTTTCCTGATTTGGCCCTCGAAGCATAGCAGTTAGATATAATATTGTTTCTTACCTTGGAAGGGGAACCTTTTCCTGATTTGGCCCTCGAAGCTCATCCGTTAGATATAATATTATTTCTTGTCTGGGAAGGAGAAACCTTTCCTGATTTGGCCCTTGAAGTACAGCAGTTAGATATAATATTATATTTTTCCTTGGAAGGGGAACTCATTCCTAATTTAGCCTTTGAAGTACAGTAGTTAAATATAATATTATGTCTTTCCTTGAAAGGGGAACCCGTTCCTGATTTGGCCCTTGAAGTACAGTAGTTAAATATAATATTATCTCTTTCCTTGAAAGGGGAACTCATTCCTGATTTGGCCCTTGAAATATAGCAGTTAAATATAATATTATTTTTTTCTGGGAAAGGGAACTCATTCCTGATTTGGCCCTTGAAATACAGCAGTTAGATATAATATTATATTTTTCTTGGGAAGGGGAAATTACTCCTGATTTGTCCCTTAAAGTACAGCAGTTAGATATAATATATTTTTCCTTGAAAGGGGAATCCTTTCCTGATTTGGCTCTTGGAAGTACAGCAGTTAGATATGATATTATATTTTTCCTGGGGAGGGGAACTCTTTCCTGATTTGGCCCTTGAAGTACAGCAGTTAGAGATAATATTATATTTTTCCTGGGAAGGGGAACCCTTTCCTGATTTAGCCCTTGAGGTACACAAACCCAATCTAGCATGTTCCAAAATGGGAACCTTCTGCCTCTCCGAGTAAACAACAAAGTCTGGATGGACTTCTTTCTCCCGCTGTTGACCGATCCTTTTCCGTTACTCAGGAAGGCCGAGCCAAAGAGAGGGTCTTATATGGGTATGACTTGAGAAAAACCCCCCAAAGTTACATCTCCATAGGGGCCTTCCTTTTGGGGGTACGGTCACACACACGAGTCGTACTCGACACCCCTTTATGCGTTGCTGAGGCCTTTTCGGGGAGACCTTCTCTCTCTCCGTTGCTAGTCTCGACTTTGGAACGAACACTGGACTCGGGGAGGTTTCAGATCCTTTCCCCGGGACTTTGTGGTTAAGGTGTAATTTATTAGTTATTTATTTATCAGTGGCAGTGTTCACTATAAATGGTATTTTGTGTTTTGTTTTGTTTTGTTTTTTTTCTACAGAAGATAATTATCGGAAGCAGTGACTTCCATAATTATGACAGTTATACTGTCGTGTTTTTTTATAATATATATAAAGTAATAATAAAGCAGCATCTGCTAATTACAATCCAACCATGATCGCTGGAACTTGGTTTGCAATGGCGTGCAACAGTTGAGCTGGCTTTGGATCGCGCATGGGCAACATTCAGACGTCTGGGTGTTTTGGACTCCAACTCCCACCATTCCTAACAGCCTCAGGCCCTTTCCTTTTCCCCCTCAGCCACTTAAGGGTCCAAGTTTGCCCAAGCGGCCTGGGGCTGTTAGGAATGGTGGGAGTTGGAGTCCAAAACACCCAGACAGCCGGAGTTTGCCCATGCACCATCTTAAATTGTTGCAAACTTTTGCAGGTTCGTGCCGCGCCGTGCTTTCCATCCGAAACGTGCCGGCGAGAAGTTCCAGCACTACGAAGTATCATGAGCTCTTGGGTCACATTATCGGGGGCAGTGTCTCCCATAATGTTCAAAGAACAAGGTAGTTTTTGCCTACCAAAGTGTTGTATCGGGGGCAGTGACCTCCATCTTGCACTAAAAAAATAAATAAAGGGTGTGTCTCAGTTATCGGGGACAGTGTTTTCCCATAACTTCCTTTCTTATTTTCCTAAATGCTCTCCTTGCGACGACACCTGCAGAGCACGATCGTTAGTATCTAACATGTATATCCGAACGTCTCTTCTTTTTCTTCTGCTTCCGGCTCCAGAGTTCTCGCTCCGTGCGGAATGGCAACCTCATTGCGCGCAGCGTTGTGGGCAATGCCATAGGCACGATCAATGGCCCCCGTTCATCGCATGGAGCCCTTCCAAGCCTTTTTAGAGGGGAGAAAGTGTGGTGGTCTTCCTTGATTGATTGCAATGTCTTTGCAGAGCATTTTGGGCAATGCTATAGGGTCGATCAATGGCCGCCACTCGTTGCATCGAGCCCTTCCAGGCCTTTTTGGAGGGGAGAACGTGTAGTTGTCTTGCAATCTCTTTGCAGAGCATTGTGGGCAATGCCATAGGGTCAATCAATGGCTGCCACTCATTGCATCGAGCCCTTCGAGACATTTTTGGAAGGGAGAAAATGTAGTTGTCTTGCAGTCTCTTTGCAGATTGTTGTGGGCAATTCCATAGGGTCAATCAATGGCCGCTGCTCGTTGTGTCGAGCCCTTCTAGATCTTTTTGGAGGGGAGAACGCGTAGTTGTCAACAATGGCCACCGTTCATCGCATGGAACCCTTCCAGGCCTTTTTGGAGGGGAGAAAATGTCGTTGTCTTGCAGTCTCTTTGCAGATCGTTGTGGGCAATGTCGTAGAGTCGATCAATGACCGCCGCTCGTTGCATCGAGCCCTTCCAGACCTTATTGGAGGGGAGAACGTGTAGTTGTCTTACAGTCTCTTTACAGAGCGTTGTGGGCAATGCCATAGGGTCAATCAGTGACTTCTGCTCATTGCATTGAGCCCTTCCAGGCCTTTTTGGAGGGGAGAAAATGTGGTTGTCTTGCAATCTCTTTGCAGAGCGTTGCAGGCAATGCCATAGAGTCGATCAGTGGCTTCTGCTCGTTGCATCAAGCCCTTCCAGGTCATTTTTGGGAAGGAGAACTTGTAGTTGTCATCAATGGACATTGCTCGTCGCATAGAGCCCTTCCAGGCCTTTTGGGGGGAGGAGAAAGTGTAGTTGCCTTGCAGTCTCTTTGCAGAGCGTTGTGGGCAATGCCATAGGGTCGATCAGTGGGCGCCGCTCATTGCATCGAGCCCTTCCAGGCCTTTTTGGAGGGGAGAACGTGTGGTTGTCATCAATGGCCACCGCTCGTCACATAGAGCCCTTCCAGGCCTTTTTGGAGGGGAGAACGTGTGGTTGTCTTGCAATCTCTTTGCAGAGTGTTGCAGGCAATGTCATAGGCTCAATCAGTGGCCCTCGCTCATCCCATGGATCCCTTCCAGGCCTTTTTGGAGGGGAGAACGTGTGGTTGTCTTGCAATCTCTTTGCAGAGTGTTGCAGGCAATGCCATAGGCTCGATCAATGGCCATCGCTCATCTAATGGATCCCTTCCAGGCCTTTTTGGAGGGGAGAATGTGTAGTTATCTTGCAATCTCTTTGCAGAGCATTGTAGGCAGCGTTGCATGGAGCCCTTCCAGACCTTTTTGGAGGGAAAAAAATGTAGTTGTCTTGCAGTCTCTTTGCAGAGCGTTGTGGGCAATACCATAGGGTTGATCAATGGCTGCCTCTCATCACATGGAGAATTCCAGGCCTTTTTGGAGGGGAGAAAGTGTAGTTGTCTTGCAATTTCTTTGCAGAGCGTTGTTGGCAATGCCATAGGGTCAATCAGTGGCCACCGCTTGTTGCATGGAGCCCTTCCAGGCCTTTCTTCTTTTGGG